TCTTGTGTAAAAAGAATAATATATTTTAATCATTGAATTTATTTTTTGAAGACCCTGAATTATTATATAACGATGATTTATTTATGGTAGTCGTTGAGAATTACTAAAAAATACACAAATGAATGTCGATATTCTGTGGTCATTTGTCGCCATTATAGCTTGAGTTGCCAACATCTCAAAAATATTTTGTTTTTTGTTTTATGCGTCATCATGTCATCATTTCTTCGTTCCAGCATTTCAAGCAAGTTATAGTAACACATTTTCTCAAGTTACGTAACTTACTGGTTGTAGATTCATTATAATAAATAATAATTGCTTTTCATAAAATTCACAAACTGACGTTATGCCACAATTAAATAGTAAGATGAAAACAAAACATATATTACGTTGATTAAAAACACCAATTTTTATTCATCATCAAAAATACAACTAGAAACTATGTATAAGATTAATCTTTTTTTAATGTTTATAATTACTTTCTAAATAATTTAAGCTTTTAGATACATTATATGAATTATTATAAGCCCTCGATTGACATTTAAATATCCTCCTGAACTATTAAAGGTCGACTTTAAATTTTCCCTCCACGTCACCATATATTCTTAATAGACCATAAAACACCTACTTGTCCTAATCTCCTTCCTGAAATTAAACCAAAATACAGTGTAATTTCTTCCATACACTTTGCTCCCAAAATATAGTCATAGGAACTGTAAAAACCAATATTAACTTAACATTTAAATGATCAGTAATGTGACCTGTGGTTGGTGTGACTTAATGGTAGTGTGACCTGTGAGACTGCACAGTGAAACGGAAAATAATTAATGAAATACTACCGGCTTATTAATCGCTTTCTGGACTGCTTTAAAGGTAAGATACAGTAGTTGGGTACTTTAAAATATTATCTTATATATATTTATTATCACTCATATATTTAAGCTATGTTTCTAAACCATAATGACTTTAGAAGATAAATTTAAATTGTAGAGAGTTTAGTAGTTTACAGAGTCTGAAATGCTACCAATAATAATATGTAAAATATGTTTCATAGAAGCTGCAACTAAAATATAAAGCACATTCTATTGCCTGCCCTTTCAATGCCTGTATTCAGTATATATATATAAAACAATGAAAATATTGGAGCCATCACACGATACGATGGACAGGTTAGAAAAATAATGCACCCTGCTTAAAAAAAATGAGAAACGGTTCTACCATTCCCTGTTATAAGTTGTCTAGTTACAGCAAGGCTTCTTTTTCTCGATTAAAATACTGTACAACTAAGCTCCCTTCTTAAATTCAGATTTTTATTTTTACAGAACTAACCTACCACACACATCAGGACCTGGGGGCGAAAATATAATAATAATAATAATAATTTGCAGATACAGTACAGCGTTTACAGTAGTTGACAAAAAAAGTTAAAATGTGAAAGCCAAAAATATTCGTCTGGCGTCGTTCACTAAGTTAATTAAACTCTTTTAAAACTCAATTAAGGTTGTTGGCAGTGATGTTGGATGTTGGGAGTGATATTGGTGGGAGTGATGTTGGTAGTGGTGTTGGTGATAGGGATGTTGGTGGTAGTGATGTTGGTAGTGGTGTTGGTGATAGGGATGTTGGTGGTAGTGATGTTGGTAGTGGTGTTGGTGGTAGTGATGTTGGTGGTAGTGATGTTGGTGGTAGTGATGTTGGTGGTAGTGATGTTGGTGGTAGTGATGTTGGTGGTAGGGATGTTGGTAGTGGTGTTGGTGATAGTGATGTTGGTGGTAGTGATGTTGGTGATAGGGATGATGGTAGTAGCGTCGTTAGTAATGGTAACAGTGATGAGTGTGATTATAGCAAAATTAAACTGAAAGATGTAACCTGTTCTAAAGCGTGGTATTATAACTTAGGAATTCCTCTCTCTTTCTCTCTCATCTGAAATAAACTAGGGTGTCTAATCATCAGGTGATCATTATAAAACCACCTCACCACACCCGACCATTGTGGCAGCTGACTCAGTGTGTTTCCGGCCATCCCCTTTAACCCAACACTCACTCTATGAAAGGCTCAAGTTCGACACCGTTAGATGAAAAAACTACATCACCAAAAGCCAGAGAGTCAAAGCCTGGCGAAAAGCGGCACTGATCCTGGCCCTTGAGAACAGTGCCACCCTAGGGAGGTTGTGTGAGACTTGTGGTACAATTAACAAAAGAACGTCTAAAATATTTAACCTTGTCGTTGTGGTAATAATCTTAATATAAATAAAATAACAATGTAGGTATAATATTTGTAGTATTGTTATTATGGTTGTGTTAAAAATAGTATCAAAACCGTGTTTAGTTATCGTATTGTGGGGTACGAGTTATTGGTTCACACTCAGGATGGGATGGAGAAAGGAAACTCACAATGTGCTCTCTGTATACATATTGTATTGGATGTACAGTGCAGCTTGGTGCTGGGAAGGCAGCGTGGTTACAAGCGTGATGTAGAAAGAGCTGGTTGGTGAGGGTGCTCAGAGGAGGATCAGCTTGTGGGTCGCCATGCTCGCCGGCGGGAGCGAGGACCGCCAGGCAGCGGCGGAGGAGGAGGTGTTGCTTGCTGGTTGGTGTAAGTAGAATGAGAGCGGTCACCACGAGGTCAGGTCTTATATAGCGGACGTAGGCGCGGTTTAATAGTTGACCTCTGTCATGTGAGGCGGCGGTGGTTGACCTAGACCACGAGGCATACACTGGGGAATTCGCGGGGTCGGCTACTCAGCGACAAACAGCGTTTGTAGGGGAGGAATCCACTACAGTATCACCAGGATAGTAGACACTCCAGCTTCATTCACCTGATGATTAAACACCCTAAAGCTTATCTTTCCCAATCTTCCAGGTAGCATTAGGATGGTTAATCATTAGGTGAAATAAGCTGGGATGTCTTTTCTTCAGTTAATCTTAAATCTCTATCATAGTTATATCTCATCCTGTCTCTAAATAAATGTAAAAATTTGCATACGAATCTTTGACAATCTTGACCCAAATATTTCCTCATTGCCGTGTTTAGTGAGTCATTTATATGCTGCCTCACATCACCAGCAGGAGGTACACTATAGTCTCCCTGTTGACCTTTTATTTGGTTGTATTGTTTGCATTTTCTTTCCACACTCACGTTTGCTATGTTTGTTCATCAAGGCGTCACATATTACTTCACCGATTAGCGACTCAGACAATCAAGCGTCACTCTTTACCCCATCAATAAAGAGGTGTTGACTTGTTATCTATGTATACTATATGTGATAATTGGACAGTTTAATAGCTTGTCTAAAAGAGGGCGTCAAGGAGAATTGTATCTTCATGCATATACTGTATGTGAATTTCTCTATATATTGATGGTTTAATATATTTACTGTATACTTGTTTATAAACATTCATGAATGTGTGTGTATGTGTGTATACCTGTGTTTGAATCAATAAAACCGAGAGAAAAAGCTCACACCATTAAGGTCACTCACCACCAGCCACACCATTAAGGTCACTCACCACCAGCCACACCATTAAGGTCACTCACCACCAGCCACACCATTAAGGTCACTCACCACCAGCTACACCATTAAGGTCACTCACCACCAGTCCACATTAAGGTTACTCACCACCAGCCACACCATTAAGGTCACTCACCACCAGTCACACCATTAAGGTTACTCACCACCAGCCACACCATTAAGGTTACTCACCACCAGCCACACCATTAAGGTCACTCACCACCAGTCACACCATTAAGGTCACTCACCACCAGTACACTATTAGTCACTGCCACCAGCCACACCATAACTCACACCGCCAGCCCACACCATTAAGTCACTCACCACCAGCCACACCATTAAGGTTACTCACCACCAGCCACACCATTAAGGTTACTCACCACCAGCCACACCATTAAGGTCACTCACCACCAGCCACACCATTAAGGTCACTCACCACCAGCCACACCATTAAGGTCACTCACCACCAGCCACACCATTAAGGTCACTCACCACCAGCCACACCATTAAGGTCATCCTCCTACACCTTCTTTCACCCAGTCACACTACTGAGAGCATCATCATCATCTCCTATAGTGTTGATCTTCTCTCTCTCCCACACATTCAGCTCGTGACGTCACTCATACAATGTGTCGGGGTGAGGTAAATAGTGTTTGGTTGTGATGAAGGTACAGCCAGAACAAAGAGGGGGAGGGAGAGAAAGAAGAAAGAGGGAGAGAAAGAAGAAAGAGGGAGAGAAAGAAGAAAGAGGGAGAGAAAGAAGAGGAGAAGGAAAAGGAGGAAGAGAAAGAATTAGAGGAGGAAGAGAAAAGAGAGGAGGAAAAAGAGGGAGAAAAAGGAGGAAAAAGAGAGAAAGAGAAGAGGTAGAGAAAAAAGGGGAGGAAGAAGGGAGAGAAAGAGGAGGAGGAAAAGGAGGGAGAGAAAGAAGAGGAGAAGGAGGAAAAGGATGGAGAGAAAGAAGAGAAGGGAACAGAAGATAGGAGTATAGGTCCCACTTCAAAAAGCTGGTTTTCCGGCATCATCATGGTGTATATTAATATATTTTTTCTTTTTACTCTTATCTTTTTTCGCCACCCAGGCCCCGTTGTGGGTCGATGGCCTGTGCTCAGGTGAGCTATTCCCCTTAAAAAAGAGAAAAAGAAAAAAAAAAAAGTGACAAAGTGTCTTAAGATATGCTAATTTTATCTACAAACTTCCCTCTTTACTGTAACTCCATTATCTGCCATTTTACCGTATCTCTTAATTTTGTTACTTGCCTATTTCTTACCCAATAATTTATATATCTTGGGAGTGTGGAGGATGCAGGACCTGGTTTAGTCATGTTGTTTTGATGGTTTTCCTTATTGTAGTCAGTCCAAGAGAGTGACCCACCGTCAGTATCATCTTCCTCCAGGAGGTGCGTGCTGTATCCACTCAGCTGCCAATCCCTCACACCTGACATCAGATTAATGGTTTCTATTCCAATTTTTTTTTTTTAGGATAAGAAAAAATCTAAAAGAACTATAGTGTTTAATATTGTAGGCAACATAATAAAAACAAGTATGTCACACTGTGTAGTCCACCACTGTACAGTATTTATGTCTTATCTTGAGGAACAACTACAGTACAGTAACCTGGAGATGAGTGAAACCTCTAAATTGTACAGTACCAGTAATCCCTCATAAGTTTCCAAAGTTTCATTCTACACATACAGTATATGACTACATAAACTCACACACTAAAAGCACCCTGACAAAGTTGCAATATATGCCTGGAATGATAGTTAGTTTAGGACTACAAACGTGCATCTGCCTTTGACAAACCAAGGTGATATTGTTGACAACTAGCAAGCTATTAAAACTGTCATAATTATACTAAAGCCCATCAAATCTGTATTAATTCAAACCAGATTAAAGCAATGGTCCTTTAAATCAATTTATTTCTTCATTAAAACATAACAATAAATAAATACCTGTAAAAATAAAAATCAGTATTCATTAAACATACCAAAGGAATAGGGATGGTGGTAAACACTGGTGGTGGGGCCATGTGTGTGGATGACTGTACTGTACATCCATGATACACTGTGTGATTCACTCCCTGATCAACATGGCATTCTGATTTTTTTTTTCCCCAAGATCTTTTATTTTTTTCACAGTGGTGATGCTCACATTCCCATAATTACTTCCTCTCAAGTTTGGCTTTGTGGTGAATATACAGTTCCTCAACACTCTCACATGGTACAGCACCATACTGTAAACTCTATAAAACAAGCAAGGATTATTTTCTCACTCTCTTGGGACAATTTTTCTTGTATGTTTTGCTGATCCTCACTGTAGTCTGGTTCTCTCAAGGAAGTGTCATCAGATTGTGCATTATTCAACTACCACTCAGAAAAAGTGATTACAGTCTGTTTTAAAAAAAAATGAATGGTCAGAAATAAAAGCTAAGATTCTTTACAATAAGTCAAAAATTGGAAATGTTGTTGATATTAGAGAAAGGAATGTCAAGCCAATATTCCATGACAGATGAAATACCTGACATGGACTACCTTGGTGGGAGTGACTACATACCTCTTCCAGATGGAACTAAATCTCAGACAACCTAAGTCACACAGGAATACTTGGACATGTACACCCGAGGTCGAGAGTCCGCTCCCTCCCAAACTGATTAAAAACAGCAACTACACCAGAAGACAGTCAGGGTGTTTGGAGACTCATTCCCGTGACTTTGTTTCAACACGGAGAGCCAACCTTTGCCTGAGACTGTACATTCCTAACATCATTATTATGACCTGGCATGTGGTCTTCAAATTCTCCTGACCTCAATCAAGGGGAATATTATGAACGGGAAAGAATATGGCACCAGGTGTACAAGACCGCCAAGCAGAACGAACGAAGACTCCATCACTGAATACACATTAACAATCCTTATCAACATTTGGTTGACCTGAAGAAAATATACCAACTGATCTCTTCATGAGGCAATTAAGCAAGAGTATTGACCAAGATGGCAGTCACTGTGGAAATTTACTGTAATTATTATATAGTAATTCCTCAAACAATAATAATTAATACTTAAAATGAAAAAAGAAAAGAATGTTCTATGAATATAATAGTACATGGTGCATGTACTATGGACCTTCAACAAAACTTCACTTCATCAAATCATATCACTAACTCCCTTGATAAACCACCCTGGACCACCCTGTATGTGTATAATTACAATATACTGTACAGGTTTACTGTATAAAATCTTTTCCTGCACTTGCACTAACAAATACAAGACTACAACCATATCAGTCAATGGTGAACAAACAGCTTCCTACATTCCTTCTATATGAGAAAGCCGGAGTAATGAAACAAGCTCTGGCAAATGCTCAGTGATTGTGTATAGTATTGGCATTTGATATTAGAAGTGTCAAAATATTCTTCCTCACATCAGCGGGGAAAATAAAAGACAATTGAACAAATAGATACATAACTGTCAACGTATTGTCCATCACTTGAATTCAGTATACTGCACGGTATGTAAGAGTTAAAATATCAAAATTACAACTATACAATACTGTAGTACGTACAAATAATAGTTTCACCTGAAGAATCTCCGCCCAAGTTTATTTCACCCAATGATTAACCATTCTAACACTTATTTGGGGGATGAGGTGAGGTCAGGGTTTCTCAACCTGGGGTGGGTCAACAGAGGGTTTACTAGGGGTCCACAGATGAAAGTAAGCATGGTAAGTTAACCATACTGTATTAAGTTTAATTTACCACAGATGTGTATTTTGAAGACGTTCAGATAAACTTACACATTATACAACATTTTTTAATAATTTTCCTGTTTGGTTTAATCTGAAAACTCAAAAGCCTGACTTAAGGAAAAGCTTGGTGTTCCTATACAGTATAAGGCACTTGCTCATTACACCCCCAATGTGATGTGTTCAGAAAGGGGTCCATGAGATAGCTTAATACAGTAACCGCAAAGGTAGAAAGATGACAAAAAAGGTTGAGAACTTAACCAATAGGTAAGTTTAAGTTGGGTTAGGTTAGGATAATCTTCAAGTGAAATAAGCTGGGGTGGAGATTCTTGATTTGATCCTAATTAACTTCTATTAATGGCTACTATATAGAGTAAAATGAATCCAGGTACAGTATGCTTTCCCATATAAAAACTGAAATAACTTCTCAAACACAGAAAAAAGTGTATTATGCTGTACTAGTAAAATATTAACATCCCCATTGAATAAAATCAGCTAAAAAAAGTAAAGTACACAAATATACCTGTAATACATAAAAATATTCAAAATACTGTACTGTATACAGAACTAAATAGTCCATCCGTAGTCAATATAAAATAGTTCAGACAAAACATATCCCTCATAGGTGAGACAACTGTGCATCTAAATCCAAACTGTCTCACTGTTTAGATACTGACCGAGAAAATGGTAATACGTACAGTACTGTACTGATTTACTGTACAGTACAATGAAACTCAACTACCAAGAGATAACTTCCATTACCCTTCATTGCAGTGTACAGTACTGTATCCGGAAAACACTTGCCAAAAGAATATTTAAGAATTTATGCCCAGAATTGCCGAGTCACATCCTATAATACTGTACAGTACATACATACATGACCTTAAACTAAACTGTGTGAGTTTCAACACCAACTGATATCCCACTCTTCCTTGACTATAATGTCAGGGTCAAACATTTCTAATTTAATATCATCAACTTTACTTAATACTTCATTATCATATTTTGCCTTCTTACACACCACATCAGAATCATCCTTTGATGATGTTGCAGGCAATGGCCCAGATACAGGCTTACTAGGCAAAGACACAGTTTCATATTTGCTTGGCAATGACACATTTTCATGCTTGCTAGGCAAAGACACGGTTCCTTGCATGCTTGGGAAAGACACAGTTCCAGGCTTGCTGGACAAAGACACTGTTCCTTGCTTGCTTGGCAAAGACACAGTTCCAGGCATGCTGGACAAAGACACTGTTCCTTGCTTGCTTGGGAAAGACACAGTTCCAGGCATGCTGGACAAAGACACTGTTCCTTGCTTGCTTGGCAAAGACACAGTTCCAGGCATGCTGGACAAAGACACTGTTCCTTGCTTGCTTGGCAAAGACACAGTTCCAGGCATGCTAATCTCTGCCTGGGTAATTGGCTCATTAGTTTGCCATCCCCCTACACACTCCACATCCTCTTGGTGCGGCACTAAAACAACTGTTGGATGGTCTATTTCATCATCTGTCAACACATCTCCCATGAAACGATTACACTTACAGTAAGAGTCTGTCATCTGTTTTTGGTTTTTCACAGATTGACCAAATCTTGTGATAATCACAAACTCTTCGCCCGACTGTGTTATCTCGGGGGATTCATCTCTTAAGTGATCCTGAGGGTTGTGACGCAGCGGGACTTTTTTCCCACACTGAGAACACTTAAATGAATTCTTCCCTGCTTGGGTCACCATCTGGATCTTTACACTGAGTGACTGACTTGTTGCTCCTACATGAGAAAAGGACTCATGGCCATCACTCCCAGATTCTGAATTCGCCTGCCATATCAGCTTGTCATCTATGATAGACTTGAGTTGATTTGCTCTGATGTGACCATAGATGTGACGCTCAAATTCTCTTTTCCCGTGAACTATGCGCTGACACACACGACATAGGAGCAGCTTTTCTGCTCCAAGAAACATTAAGTGTGTGTTAAGATCTTCTTTTCTTCTAAACATCTTTTTACACTTTACACACTGATAATGAGTTTTCATATGATTTGCCAAATAGTCTTCTCCTGCAAACGTCTTCCCACACACTGCACACACATGCATCTCACTCCTGTAGGCCTTCATAGAATTTGTACAACTGTTCCCACTTGGAGCTACTGGCAAGGGCTGTGGAGACTCAGAGGGAGTTTTTTCAATGTGAGAGGACTTATAATTTGACATCTCTTCATTTCCATCAGCTCCATTATCACACACATGACAGGGACACACTTCATCTCCGATATAGTGAACTTTAACAGACTTTATATGCTTAACTAATTTTCGACATCTTGGACAGAAGAATGACATGTCACTACCATGAACCTTCATATGATTTATCAGACTGTCATCACTATCAAAATGTCTGCCACATATGTCACAAGACACGGGTACAGGCCTTTGTTTATGGGCATGACAATGACAGTTGCGTTTGGGGTTGCTCGAGATCGTCGTAAACATTTTGCCACAATGTTCACATAAACCACCTTTCTTAGATTGAGTGTGGCCAAGTTGTAGGTCGCCTTCTCTATTATGAGTGAGGCCATGTTGTAGGAGGTCTTCTCTATTGGCAAACTTGGTATAGCACCGTAAACACAAGTACGGTAAATCTCCCCAATGAACACGCAAGTGCCTCTCGTACAATGCTTGATTCTTTAATTTTTTATCACAATATGGGCAGCTGCGTGGAAAAGATGGTACACTGGAGCCTACAGGGGGTGTGACATAACCCATACTTCCTTCTGTGACCTCCTTCCTTCTTTCAGTCTGATGAACACGACAATGGAGTGAAAGGTTTCTCTTGTACCTGAATTTTTTCCCACACATAAAACATTTATGCTTATCACAAACTCCTGAACTTAAATGATTAGACAGTAAAATTAATTGATGGAATTTTCTATCACATTTAGTGCATTTGAACTCTTTTTGGGGTTCATGGGTGTTAAGATGTCTCACCAAACTGACCTTTCTCTTAAATACCTTCTCGCAGATTTGACATGCATGAGAACCTTTTTTTGAATCGTTATTTTCGGAGGTTAAGGAATTGTGTTTTTCACTTGGCGTTTCACAATTCTGACTCTCTTCCACATTACTGAGACTTAATGATGCATCCCCCGTATCTTGTGACAATAAGCTTCCTTGTTCCTTTCCTTCTGTTGGCATTATCACATCTAATGAATCATCATTTTCTTCCTCACCCACATCATCCAACACGAGTGGTACTTCCTCGTCATCCATTGAGGTGGACATACCAAACTTTCCTCCCTCTGGTCTGTGTTGTTACTGTCCTGTACTGTACTGTCTCACCACACCTGAAAGAAAAAAATACAGTATTTCAACATTTTCTTGCTAAAATACTGTTTCATATGTATAGTGACCAGAAATAAAAGGACTAAGTTTAATATTCTACTTTATAGTTCAGGAATCAATGGTGGTCTAAAAGGGTCAGTGAAAGATTCTGGTAAGCTGTCTCCAATTTCCAGCAAGTTGTACACATGTCATACTGTACAACTTCCCACCGTTGTAAACTCCTGTCAATTTATAAACTTTACTTAAGGTGAGGAGGGGGAGAATCCAGGGCTCTCCTCCCCTTAAACAGGACTGGGGGAATATCCTGAAATCCTAAACTGTATCCATACATCATACATCACCATCTGCTTCCTAATGAGAAATATTATGAGGTGTGAGCCCATCTTTTTCCCTATTTTGAGCAACATACAATTAATACACATACAGTAATAATTTGTAATATGCCTATACATATTATTGAAACTTTTTAAATGCCTAAAGTAATGTAGGATTCCAACAACCAATATTTTACAACTGATATCTGACGTACGTAAATGCTACTGAAAATTTTGGCAAAGGCATAAAAAAAATTGGTTCTTTATTACTAGATTTTTTTTTTAACAAGATCTTTACTGATATTATGATTTTTATGCAAACAATGAAATTCTTGTCGTAACAGAATACGGAAGCAATAACACAAAACTCCAAAATTATTTGTTGTGGTCTTATTTACAGAGTTCCCACCAGACGATGATGGTATTTAACCCTCTTGTGTTCTGGGGCCCTTCTGAGCTGAAAAAAAGAAATTAAATAAATAAAAATCGTGTCATTAGCCAAATATTAAAAGTGAAGAGGTTAATAACTTCTGAAGTTCTGATAGCAGGCCACATACACAGACCAACATTAACCCAACCAAATAAATAAAATGTACAAGTATATGATTGTAAAGTTAGATTAGGTTCATGTTTTCTGCAACCTGAAATAATTTGGCTCCAATTTGTCCCAGAGGAAACTTACTTGACAGACCCACGACACTTTGTATAGATATTTTATTAGGTTCAACACACAATTTTGCCTCATCTCCCCCACTGGATTTGTAAAATATGTTTAAAATGAACTTACAGTAGTACCCCGCTTAACGCGGTCAATTGAACCCACAGGGTACCGCGTTAAGTGAAAACCGCGTTAAGTGAACAACAGAACATATGGGATTAATTCCAATAGAGACTGGCCCGACCCCCAAACTCCACTTTTTGACGACACACAACTATGTTGTAGTAAAAATTTTATCTTAACTTTATGATGGTATGCACACACAATTAATAATTAAGAGAAATATCAATAATATTAGGTTTTTTAACACTTGCATTAGTAGAAAAGATGGCTGGGCACACGGGGATGGGGGGTTGGTTCCGAGGCAGAGGGCAGATTATTGGCCCTCACCTGTATCACTTGTATCAATTGTATCACTATCCACCACAGAGGCTTGCAGGGCCTCTTTGTCAAACCCCTCAAAGGCCATATAAGTCCATATCCTCACTATAATTATCACTATCACTGACTTGGGCCGGCTGTGGTGGGTGGCGGGTGAAGAACTCGGTAATGTTTTGATGACTGGGCGACCTTGTGCGCATCGTGCCCGCGCCGCTTCCCGCGTATATGATGAAAAATTCCGCGTTAAGTGAAAGTTCAGCTCTGGCGAGGCACCGCGTATATGATAAAACGCGTTAAGTGAAACCGCGTTAGGCGGGGTAATACTGTATTATTACAGAGCCTATCAAACTATTCCAAGTGATGAGTGGGTAAATGTTTAAAATGACTACAGACTTAATAATGATTTGTTTTATCTTGAATTTTCACTATGAAGTTTGTGTTAACATACAGAATGTAACTACAGTTGTGGTGCCAGGAATAATTTACATTTACTTCGGTAAATTAAAAAAGAAAAACCTCTCAGAACTATGACTGAGTTTAGCAGGAGGGAGAGGCATTAAATATAGTATAGTATTGCCTAACTTTTAATACCTGCATCACTCCTGGGGTTCATGCCTGTTAAAATTAAATATAACAAAAAGGAGGTTTGCTTTCAATTCCCAAAACACCACGGACATTGAGGTCACAGCCTACTTGCCGTTTCCAAAATAAATACCATTATTATTCCTCGTTCCCTCGCGGGCTTTACACTCTCTGCATTAAACAAATATTACTGGAAAAATACACCACTTCTCTGCAACTTTACCAAAATCCTATTCATGCCAGCATAACCGAACCCTCAGCCAGTATTCTCGGCTGGTAATATAGGAGAGGGTCGTCACTTTATTTCTTGCGATATTTTGACGGAAACTCTACTAACACCTTTGTCATGATCTGGAGAATAGACCTGTGGAGAGCAGTAAGGATAAAAATTAATGTAAACTTAGAAATATATATAAAAGTTGTGTCATGCAGTCTTAGGCCAAAGATAGTATATTAAAATTGTTTCCCATACACAACATACTAATTAAACCTAACACTTTGGAATTAGCAATTAGTTAGCTTTACTTATCAATTGATCAGGTTTACTTATTAATTGGTTAGGTTTATTTATCAATTGGTAAGGTTTACTTATTAATTGGTCAGGTTTACTTATTAATTAGTTAGGTTTACTTGTCAATTGATCAGGTTTACTTATTAATTGATTAGGTTTACTTATCAATTGGTATTACTTATTTTTATCATCGGTAACTTAGAAATCGTTTCAACCCACACTCTTCGACCTCACAATAAAATATGAAACAGTATCCTTTGTATGGACATTTCAAATTTAGTTTTCATAAATTTAAACCCATTTTTTATTTTTTCCCATCATTTTTGCAGCCTATGTACAACACAGCACTGTACAGTATTAAAATGAAATCAGTCGTAAAGATGATGACAAAATATAAAGGCAAATCAAGAAGTAACACTCTCCTTAACATTCACTAAATAAATTCTATAACCTACCTCCCAATTATGGTAATAATCGGTATTTCATGAAATTTTACTTTCCATTAAAATTAAGTTCAATAGCGTAAGCGTAATATTTTACAAATGTTGCACCATAACACTTGCCTTTTGGGGGAGATTTTTATACAATATTATTTCCGTGATTATACTCAGAGTTGATAAATTTACAGTAGTGTTGGAAGGAACAAAAAAAAAAAAAAAAATATTCTGAGTTCACAAAAAACATAACAAACTGCAGCTTAAATACACTGACAAATTATCTCACCAAACTACCTTGTATGTTAACAAGAGAGAACCGCTGAAAAATATCTACCCAAGTTTTGTAGTGGTCAGTGGCTTGTTCCTACATAAATCATAGTTCAGAAACAGATTTGTGAATTCTCTGAAGTGTAAAGGTGCAGATATCAGAACCCACAGCTACTCTTCATTTCCGAAGCAATAATAATAAAAATAATAATAATAATAATAATAATAATAATAATAATAATAATAATAATATTTATTCAGTAAAATTGTCCTTTGGGTTTATAAACTGGGTAGGCACATACAGTATATAACATGCAGGTATAGTATATGGATTACAATTGCTTCACTACGGAGATGTCACTTTTAATATTTTATTGGGCTAAAACGCATCAATTTTATGAAGCACAGAGCGGACCCTGTACAATAGGGGTTAATTTGGTGAATAATGAAATGTGGTGAATATTGTCTTATTCTTAGAAGCATGAACTTAATAACCGGTTTAGAATCATAATTTTTTCAGTACTGTAGTTATATAGGATATGTTGAAGGGCAATTGTTCCTTACCACAAGAATATTCTGTATCCACATCAGGGATTATAATCTTTATATATTTTTTTCATGGTTTTCGAACCGAGAAATCCAACATCCTACCCTCGACGCATTTGAATTGTCGCTGTTCAAGTATAAATGCTGTGAATACTGAACAACTTTTCTCAGTATTTCATAATTTATTCAATTGTGTAGTCATTTTTTAGTCATAGCTATTTTGTTTCATTATTTAATATTACTTTTTTAACTATTATTGCTCAAATGTTTTATACAGTAAAAAATACTAAAACAAAATTTACATCTTATGTAGTAGTGTACTGTACTATATTCTAAATGTGAAAACCACTGTACAATACATAAGATTGCCTGCTGTCGGTCTGAAATTTTAAGCTATTTAATACATATGACAAAAGCCAAATTAACCTAACCAATTATATGCACCTGACCTATCTTGGAATACTTTATAGGTAGGTTAGGTAAGATCAGTTGGTTCATTTTGCTTTTTTTAAAATAAGTGGTCTTTGAATTTCTAAGAAAAATAATCACAGAAAAACCTATACAGACAGTCCCCGACTTACGACAGAGATATATTCCTGGACTATAATCGTAAGTCGATTTGCTCATAAGTCAGAAGTATTAATTACATAGGTTAGGTTAGCACAACTCTGCCAATAGAAAGCAACAACAATATCACATACATAACAAATAATGTAAATACTGATGTTAAACAATACAGAATAATGTACAAAATGGGATTTTAATGAAAAAAAATTGCAATGAATGTACGGGTATTGGGATCCCGTTCACAAGTGCAGATGATCATAAGTTGGGTGGTCTAACTCGGGGTCTGCCTGTATTGGATTACTCAGGATAAGGAATAACTTTTCTTCGACATAAAAATTCCCTAACAAATCTATATATCTATAGTGTTTACACGCTAACCTGGCCCATAAGCCCCACCCCTCATCTATAGCTACAAATAGCCGATTGGTTCCCCTGAGCATTTTACCTTTCCCCTAGACTGTGCGTACATAAGCGCATATTTATATCGACCTTTTATTATAAATATATAAAATTATCATCTAACATCCTCTCTGAAGTGCTCATGCCTTGACATAATTTTCATTTTGTTAGTCCAGATATTTAACATTATTTTAGGCAATAACAGGTCTGCTTACCAATTGTGAACACATTTAGTTTGAATTTTGTATGAACCAATCAGCTAATAGTATAAAAGAGGGGCGTGTCTTACAGGCCAGGTTAGCGTGGAAAGAGTATAGTTTCAGTGCACAAGCTATGGTGAAATATAACATTCCATTTTTTTTATAAATCCACAACCTCACAGTGATTACTTATTTTTACCCCCCCCACCACAACCCACAACATGTGGCACCACAATATGCAACACCACTATCTTCAACAACACCATAATCTTCCACAACAACAACACCACAACCTTCGACTACACCACCCAGATATCTCAGTGTTTCAGTTAACAAATGAAAATTTAAAAACACCTACACCGAGGCAATCAAATCATTATGAATAAATCACATTCATGGTTAGGTTTGGATTGGTTAGGTTAGGTTAGGTTAAGCTTGGTTAGGTTAGGTTTCTCAAGAATCAATTAATTCTAAGTCATCACTCGACATGAATTAATAATATTTGTCCACATGATTAGCCTCAACAAGACACTGAAGGCATACAGGCAGTAATATCATGGAGTGGTGGTATAAGGGCTACCAATTTTAATCACTGGGAGGCTTGAGGTTAATAAAATACATATACACTTCCTGAGATAAATTCATAGAGAATATCCAAGACTCATAGTGGCAGCCATAAAATAGGTCGTTATTATTTTACTTGAAGAGATTTAGTTGAACTGCCATAAAGGATATTGATGAGACTTTACTAATATGGTTAAAGCCTACATAACAATTTATAGTATAACATTTGTAAAGATTTTTTTTTTCTCATCTGAGTATTTTTTCGTATACTGTATTAGTCCTGTTATCAGTACTGGTGGTAACTTGGTAAAATTATTGAGTGGGTGTCCACCAGATCACTATCATTCAGTAGATAATTATGATCTGCCAGTACTCGTGTTCCTTACCTCTTGCACACCTCGTCCACACTGTTGTACTGCAGGAATGTCACTTTACTGTAGTTATTCCAGTAGTTCACGAGGGCACCGTGGTTTAATAAGACATAAATCCATTACATTCCCGCATGCTCCCAGGTCAGGGCTTACTCCTTCCTTCTGCTACAAATGAAGCATCTTAGAGACTCGAAGCAATTGTTTCAATTCTAGAAGTTATCCTGTACCTTTTTTTAACATTTGAACTCTAAACAGGTTTATAGTCAATATGTAAATAGTTTTATGTTTATTAGCAAATAATTTGTTCGTACTACCAGTGTTAACCAACCTATGGCGAAAAGGCAACAGCTCCTCAGTAGGTGATTGAAGCACAACAACAAGCTTCGTTCGCTCCGCACCCCAGTGTGAACGAAGCTGTTATGATTCAATCGCCTGCTGAAAATCATATCCTGTTAATCCAAATTTAATGAAGTGCAAAAATAATTAATTAAATGATAAAAAAAAACATTTCAGTAAGAGTTATCCATAGTTTAAAGTGCAGGAATTTCAAGTAAAATATAAAATAACATTCACGACTGAAACAATTGCTTCGAGTTTCTAAATCTCTGAAGTCTACAAAGGTTTAGTTCTCCTGCAGCCACACCCGAGCCAACTGAGGTGTTGTGTAGGACAGGTGATAAACAGCAACACTGGCGTTCGTGTAAAACAAAGTAATTATAGTCCCATTCATATTACGTATATCTTCAGTAATACTAGGAAGAATATTGTCATTGCCTTGATTTAATAGTCTCAAAAATTATTGACAGAAGTCAGTAAAAATGTAAACGAGATAGAATAAACAGTGTAAGTTGACATTTAGGTAGACAAAACTTGAGAATTAATATATTTTATTTTTTATTGGGGCATTACAAAGGAAGACGAGTGCAAAAAGACTAAATAGTGAACAGTAAAGTATTATTTAGTGGGTCAGTGGCGGCTCGTGCAGTCCCCCCAGACACTCACTGCCAGGCGTATGATTCCTTTAGAGAGACAGCTGAATAATACACTACCAACAAATATATCATTTTATATGTTATTTAATTATTTTCAATACGTTGCTAAGTGAATTTTCATTAAAATCAGACCAAAATTTAAGTTACTTTCATAGTTGCTGTCAATGCTGTACGATTGATGTCTGTTATTAATTGGCGCCGCCGCCGCTGCCCTTGAAGCAGCTCAGTCTCGTACAACGTGTGGACGGTGTGGTTAAATCGTGCTTTCTTTAATTACCCTTTAGCAGTGATATCCATTGAAAATAAAATGATAACAGAAATAAAGGATTTTAATGAAATAGTAATAAACAATTTTGCTACATCGAAGAGCAGACACGCCGACTTTATTTTCAATTAATACTGGTCCATCACCACCTTCAACACTACTACCATGCCCTGGGAATTAGTGGACATCAACTACAACTCATACCTGAGGTAGGTCACCTACTGTTGTGTGAGGCTTGCAGTCCCTCCATTTTATTTTTCACGAGCCGCCACTGCTCAGGAGACCCGACACCCTGGATTTACTAGTGTTAATATTCGTGGAACGCAGCTCTAGTTAAAATGGATCATCTACAAGGCGTCTGGCTCTAAAATAAGGGAGCAAAAATTAGTGGAAATGATTATCAAATGACAATCGCGGCACATCGATAAAAATAATTATAAATATATATATATATATATATATATATATATATATATATATATATATATATATATATATATATATATATATATATATATATATATATATATATATATATATATATATATATATTAAACACAAGAGAACTTAAAAGTCGTCTAGCCTCCCCTCGTCTTGTCACGATGGAGACTTGTGCAGAACTGAAGTGAATTGCTTGTAACTGGTGGATTGGTCGGCTGTACATGAACTGATATGACCCGAGACTGCATGGTTTTGCAGCTACTGGAGACGTTAATCCTTCCCTTTGTATCGGCGGCAAGTTAATCCTCGTCGTGTCTGACCTAACACCTGACCCACACCACATGAGCTCACTGGCGTACTAGTTTGAAGTTGTTTCCTTAATCATCAACAGATTACAGTTTGTGTGTGTGGCGGGAGGGCGGGGCATAGCAAGGGTGTAGCTCATGACGTGGCCGTGATGATGTGGGTCAGGTGTTAGGTCAGACACGACAAGGATTAACTTGCCGCCGATACAAAGGGAAGGATTAACGTCTCCAGTAGCTGCAGATATGGGTGATTTTCCGATTTAGTTGTTCTAATAAACTTGTTCAATTATCATCAATCGAATTTCACTTCTCGTTACATTAACCACGGCGCGTTCTACTCTCACGGATAATTGTTGTCTGAATTACTGCCAAAGGACTTCCGTTCCTCTATTGACGGAGGAAGATTAGGGAGACAACTATAAACTTACTGTGTCATCTACCTTTTATCACCTTTTCTCCTCTTCCCCCCTTTTTAATCTCCATAACCTTCCCTTCCCTCTCCCTCTTGCCACTTTTTCTCTTCATCTTTTTTTTTCTTTCTATCCCTCTTGTCTTCATTTTTTTTTTTCGCTTTCTCTCTCCTCCACTCTTCTTTATTTTCCCTGTTTCTGCCTCTTCCTCTCCTCTTCATTTTCCTTTCTCTTTCTCTCGTCTCTCTCTCCTTCCTCCTCCTCTCTGTATGCAGCACACACCTTACTAACGCTGTATAGGAGAAATGGGCTGGTGGTACAAGGGGTGAATGGGGTAATTGGGAAACTTAAACGACACTATTGTGGACGGTAGGGAGGGGAGGGAGGGGGAGCCTAGGAGGGGAGAAGGGTGGGGGAGGGAGGAGGAGCCTAAGGTGGAGGGTGGGGGAAGGAGAGGAGGTGTGGATCCTAGGGGAGAATTTCATACATACATACATACATACATACATACAGGGTACATATATATTTATTAACAAGCAATATACTCGCACATATACCCAAACCTTCCCTACCCACCTACCTATCATACATCCAACACACACCCAGTACACATACTTTTACTTTATTAACTTTATCCACTTCGCCATTGATCGGCTCGTTAGCCACTTGGGCTGTTGGTCACGTCTCTGTTACACACTGTTGGCAAGTACTGGGCATGTACTGGCCCTTGAATGTATCTGTACACTAGCAGATTGTTGCAAGAATTCACGCTTCTCACTCAGAATAAGTTTGTCCTGACAATTTTTTGAACTTGTGTCTTCTTCAACCTTATACTATAACCTCTAGTGGGGCAAGTATCCGTCAGCTCCAAGTATGAACACTCGACTGAGTAGTGTCACCCAGGCAGGTCCTTTTCACATTTGGTCTCCGGTAATGCTGTTTGTCCGTCCCGTTGGGACATGTGATACACCTCCACACAGCTGCAGTAACCTCTTCACTACGGGGGCGCCACTCTTAATATAGTATATAGCCAACACCAGGCGATTTATTCAACTCAGAGGTACAGTAAACACCGTACACAAGGTATTAACATCGTTCTCTCGTGTACCAGGTTGGGAACTCCTGCTCTAGTAGTTGAGATATAATGAAGGACTTCCTCCCTCCTTCCTTCCTGTGCACCAACAACCCTCACCAAAAGGTCTTGTATCATTTAATGAAGTCAAGACGAGAAACTCAATAACACTCTTTACGGGTTGGTGGATAAGTGAATTGCGGCCAGAATAGAAAATGTCTTCATTCAATTACATTTAACGAGATTTGCCGGGATACTCAACAAGGCGGGAATATTATTGGAACCACGAGGAGGTGTCGTTGTTGTCACTCACACTCAGTTGTGGTAATTGACTCTGACAGAATTACGCCATGAATAATCCAACAAGGAAGTCCTGTTGATAAACCCCGTTGACTAATGAATAAATCCCTTTAAAAACGAATAAATCCCGTTGATAAATGAATAAATTCCGTTAATAAACGCTTAAATAAATCCCAATAATGAACAAATGAATTAATCCCATTCAGAAATTACCACAGAGTTGTCGTGAGTGAATGACGATCGCTGGCAGACAACCACTAGCCAGCGAACACTCCAGCCACAACAAGAGACTGGCGACTTACCTCACTGGCTCATCAGTAAGCTTGAGGGGGAACTTAAGTGTGGTGAGATCGTTTGCATCACATCTCCCCAACACTAATTTGATTAATCTTGGTGACTGTATTGATGAGAGTGAGTGGGTGAGTGACTGGGTAACAGAGTGAGTGGGTGAGTGAGTGGGTGACAGTGAGTGAGTGGGTGAGTGACTGGGTAACAGAGTGAGTGGGTAACAGAGTGAGTGGGTGAGTGAGTGGGTGACAGTGAGTGAATGGGTGAGTGAGTGGGTGACGGAGAGTGAGTGGGTGAGAGTCAGGGAGACTGAAACTAAGAAACAGAACTACAGAGATATAAAGGCATAAACAGACAGACAGACAGAGACAGAAAAACAAAAAGACAGAATAAGAACAAGAAAGAGACAGAAAGATAAAGAAAAAAGTAGAAAGACAGAAAAAAGGAGGAAAAACAAAAAAAAGGAACAGAAACACAGGTACAGAATGACAGACAGACATGAACGAGAGCGGAAGGAATGCTGGGGAACGTTTGCTTCATGGGTGAGGAACTGTGTATAGGAGAGAGAGAGGAGAGAGAGAGAGAGAGAGATAATGGTTTCTTCTACCTGAGCTCCCCAGTGGGTACAAGAAGGTGTTTTATCTTAATAGTGCAGCACTGGTTACCTCCCTCCCTCCCCCCTCCTACCCCCTCCGACCACTTCACCCCTCACACCCCCCACTACGGGATGAAGAAACTGCACTATTTGAGACAATGTGAGAAGGACCTAGGTGTGTATGTTGACAATGAGCTGAAGTTCTCGGGCCATTGCGAGAAGAAGGTAAATCAGGCAAATAAATTATTGGGTCTTATAAGAAGGTCGTTCAGATATCTAGACGGTCCGTCCCTCGTAACGATCTTCAAGAGTGAAGTGCTTACCCATCTGGAGTACTGTCATCCCGTCTGGTCCCCGAGATATGCTAGGGACTGTCAGTTGGTTGAAGAGGAGGGCCACCAGACTGGTGCCTGCACTTCGGCACCTCAGCTACCCTGAGAGATTGGAGCGCCTGAACTTGCCTAGCTTATACTACAGACGGGCAAGGGGCGACCTAATTGACGGTGTATAAGCATCTCAAAGGGCACTACTCAGTCGAGCGTCCTTACTTGGAGGTGGCGGACGCTCGCCCCACGAGGGGTCACAGCTCAAGATTGAAGAAGCCGCAAGTCCAGAAAACTGTGAGGGCAAACTTTTTCGGAGTGAGAGTTGTGAACTCTTGGAACAATCTGCCAGAAAGTGTTGTGACGGCACCGAGTGTGAGCTCTTTCAAGACCAGACTTGACCAACACTAGAGCAGGTTTAGGTACATTCAGGAGCCGGTGCATGCCCAGTACTTGCCAACAATGCGTAACAGAGACGTGACCGATCGCCCATTAAGCGGCTAACGAGCCGATCAGCGGTGAAGAGGATAAAAAAAAGTAAAAGTACACCCCGGCCCAGGTACTGTACTGAGTGTTGTCTCCTGCCTGGTGCTGAGTGAAGGTCAGAGGTACACCTAGAAGGACTTTTATTCCGTGTTTACTTCTACAACTACCAGGAAAATTCATCCTAAAATCATTGAAGAACCTGTATCTGAATCCTGGCACCCTGCACAATAAGTGTCAGCATTACTGTCGCCACGCAGGCCACCTGAACACTGGCGTTATGTTATCAACAGCATTAGTCTGAGTTATGTTCATGTTTTTTGTTGGAAATTACGGCATATGAATTAATAGATTATTGGGCACTGGTCTCAAGTCTTACTTTCTACACGAGAGGAGTTGTGAGCTGTTAGTTGTGGGTCGCGGGATCCCTCAGACAGCGGGGTAATGTTGCGTCCATTGAGGATTCTCTTCCAGATAGACGACGCACTAATATTATATCGTTCAAGGTTCATGATGAACATGGCGTCTATGCCCACATAGTGTTTCCTTGACTTGGGAGTTATCTTGAGGAACATTCGCTGGGAGAGGCTGGAGATCTTAGGCTGGAAGGGCGTGGCCAAGATGCCGGTGAAGTAAACGTCCTCCACCTCGACGGGGTGAGTCATGTTGGCTGCAGCGTAGAGGTGGCGCGCCATGCTGGCCGACACCACGTAGGCTCCTCCCTGGCAGTAGTGAGGGTAGCGCTCGGGAGGGTAGTCCTGCCACGACACCGCCCACTTCTGGCGACAGCGCTTGCCAGGACGACACACTATTGAACCCCCGATCACTTTACACACCAGTTCTGAGGCAGAGTGTTGCCGTAGGAAGTCACTCACAATAAACGGGTTAACGAAGATATCATCATCACTCTTCAGGATCCACTTCGCCGTCTTGCAAAAGTGTTGTTGCCAGTGGAGAAGAGACAATGTCTTCAGTGTCAGATTCGAATAGGAATCTACGAAATCGAGTTGGATCATATCGTGGTAGCGGTGACTCTCGTGGAGAATGTCTCGCTGGTGCTGGGCAGAGCTGGTGGTGGCCACGACGAACACTGTCTTCATCCTCACCAGGCTGGTATACTGAGGTGCCCCCCACATCTTCCTGCCAGAATAACTCTCTTAGCCTTGAAAACTTAAGACTTAAGTGTAAACATATACCAAAACACATTACTCCTTATCTCTTAGCGTTACCTTCCTCACTGTCTAGGTACATTGTTCATATATCCACACGGTCTAGGTACATTGTTTATGTACCTACACTGTCTAGGTACATTGTTCATATATCCACACGGTCTAGGTACATTGTTCATATATCCACACGGTCTAGGTACATTGTTCATATATCCACACGGTCTAGGTACATTGTTCATATACCTACACTGTCTAGGTACATTGTTCATATACCTACACTGTCTAGGTACATTGTTCATATACCTACACTGTCTAGGTACATTGTTCATATACCTACACTGTCTAGGTACATTGTTCATATACCTACACTGTCTAGGTACATTGTTCATATATCCACACGGTCTAGGTACATTGTTCATATATCCACATGGTCTAGGTACATTGTTTATATACCTACACTGTCTAGGTACATTGTTCATATATCCACACGGTCTAGGTACATTGTTTATATATCCACACGGTCTAGGTACATTGTTCATATATCCACACGGTCTAGGTACATTGTTCATATACCTACACTGTCTAGGTACATTGTTCATATATCCACACGGTCTAGGTACATTGTTCATATATCCACACGGTCTAGGTACATTGTTTATGTACCTACACTGTCTAGGTACATTGTTCATATATCCACACGGTCTAGGTACATTGTTTATATATCCACACGGTCTAGGTACATTGTTCATGTATCCACACGGTCTAGGTACATTGTTCATATATCCACACGGTCTAGGTACATTGTTCATATATCCACACGGTCTAGGTACATTGTTCATATATCCACTCGGTCTAGGTACATTGTTCATATATCCACACGGTCTAGGTACATTGTTCATATATCCACACGGTCTAGGTACATTGTTCATATATCCACACGGTCTAGGTACATTGTTCATATATCCACACGGTCTAGGTACATTGTTCATATATCCACACGGTCTAGGTACATTGTTCATATATCCACACGGTCTAGGTACATTGTTCATACACCTACACTGTCTGGTTACACTGTATAACTGCTTAACCAATTGCAAACGAGTAAACCGATTTTAGTAAATATCAATCTATCTGTCTAACTATCAAACATCATACCACACGCCCCCGTCTAACCTACCTTCCTCCCCTTGTAAAGCTTCCCATGTAATCTAAAAGTCCCACCTGGTGATTGGGGTAATGGGGACAGACATCTACCTACCTGATCTTGATTCGTGACTCCATATTGCCTGCGGAGGAGACGATAGTGTTGATGATGGTAGTGTCCCGCCCACATAAGTCAGGCTCATTAATTAGATACCTGTAATTCGGAATAGTCTTGTATTACCTGTATTACCTGTATTGCATTTAGGTTATATTTATGATTTTTGGACATTTTTGAGAAAGCTACAGTAAAAGTTCAGGTATTTTGATAAATAATTGAAAAGAAATTAGGTTTAATTTTCAATGTATTTACGTTTAATATGTGATGGAAGTGAGTGGTGAGTGACAGAAGTGAGTGGTGAGTGACAAAGGTGACTGGTGAGTGACAGAGATGACTGGTGAGTGACAGAGATGAGTGGTAAGTGACAAAGATGACTGGTGAGTGACAGAGATGAGTGGTGAGTGACAGAGATGACTGGTGAGTGACAGAGGTGACTGGTGAGTGACAGAGATGACTGGTGAGTGACAGAGATAGTAAATATAACTCATGCCTGTAAGGAAACTCGTGGTGGTGTGATGACGGAGGCGCTGACGAAGGGAACACATCAGGTCTTCTTTCCATCATCTTCTTCCCTCTTCCACTCTTACTACCCTGCACCCTCTTACCTCCTCCACCGCCTTCTGTAGGGCTCGTAGACGCTCCCACACCGAGACTGTTGTTCCTGACGAAGCGTGGGTCATCAAGCACCCTGGGGCCTACCACCTGGAAGTCACCTGGGGTTGTAATGTTGGCGGTAAGGTTGTTTATATACGGGTTGTTATAATCTCCTTCTTCTTTCACAATATGTTATAGGAGATAGAGATTAGGTAACCCAGTTTATTTCACCTTAATGTTACTCTCAACTAAGTTAGGTTAGGTTAAGTTAAGTTAGATTAAGTTAAGTTAGATTAGATTAAGTTAGGGATTATTATTACTTGGGAACACACAAACAGCAGTCATCTCTCTCTCTCTCTCTCTCTCTCTCTCTCTCTCTCTCTCTCCTTCCTTCCTCAAGAACGTACAGGATATTCGTGACGGGAAGAGGAGGCATTGTGAGTTACCTGAACGAGGAAGCCGAGGGTGACGTTGTGGAGGTCAAGGTACCAGGCGGTCAACAGGACGAGCACCAGCAGCAGTTTTAGTCCCCTGAACTTGGACAGGTAATTCATCCACATCACACCTGTAGCACCTGCTCTTAATTTAGTATTCATTATGCATCCGAAGTCGCCACGATGCTGTTTACTAGGACCTACGTGTGTGTGTGTGTGTGTGTGTGTGTGTGTGTGTGTTTGTTAAGTGGACTACATATGAAGTATATCAGTGGACCTAAATATCAGTGTTATACCAACTTTGCATAATTATACCTAACCTAACCTACCCTAACCTAACCTAACCTAACCTAATCTAACCTAACCCAACCTACCCTCCCCTAACCTAACCTAATCTAACCTAATCTAATCTAACCTAACGCAACCTACCCTAATCTAACCTAACCTACCCTAATCTAACCTAACCTACCCTACCCTAACCTAACCTACCCTACCCTACCCTACTCTACCCTACCCTACCCTACCCTAACCTAACCTAACCTACCCTACCCTACCCTACCCTAATCTAACCTAACCATGAATCTAAAAGTTCTGGTGGTTCAATTTTAACATGACCGCGATAGTTATTTAATAATTATATGGGTTTTAACATCATTCAGTTCACATTATTAGCAAAAAACACCAATAGTAGTTTGTTTACATCCGATTCCTCACACGTTATCTTGGTATATTGTTAATGGCTCGATATTTCCGAGTCTGGGCACTGTTAATTTGCTTATGATAATGCGTAAAATTGCCTAGGGTCTCTCTCTCTCTCTCTCTCTCTCTCTCTCTCTCTCTCTCTCTCTCTCTCTCTCTCTCACACACAACTTACCTCTCATAATATTGTTGATGGTCAAATTGAAACACACACAGAGACGCAGACGAACGCCGGTACCCTGTCGACGTGTAGTGCCAGCAAGAGCGAAGTTGGGCGGACGGAGGAGACGAAGAAGAACGGAGAGGACTTGAGGGATGGCTGGAGAAGGCGCTGTAGGTGATCTTCACCCCCTCGACACATCCACACTGTGACTATTTAGCGCCTATCATCATCTACTGCCACCCCTTGACACTTGTACACCTGCACAACACACGTGTACAAGATCACATTAATGCACTAACGCACCTGTGCACTATTCAGGAGAAGAGAAGTATGTACCACACGATGTTTACAGGTCGGGTATCACCTTAAAGGACGGTGCTCTGGATGAATAGTGTGAGGTGAGGTTAGAGGCTCACACACACACACACACACACACACACACACACCAAAACCGTAGTCATGCGCATCAATACTGCCACCACTTCAGTGCAAGCCCCAGCAGTCACAGTGGGTGCCCATCCTCTCCAGTTAGTGCAGTCTGCCAAACTCCTGGGTGTTAACATAGACCACAAACTGGGCTGGAAGGCCCATGTAAACAACACAATCAAGGCAGCCTCGTACCGTCTCTACATGCTACGACGACTCAGATCACTTGGAGCTCCCACGCCAGAGCTGAGGACTATCTACAACGCCTTTATTCTCTCCAAACTAACGTATGCGTCACCAGCCTGGTCGTCTTCTCTCAACTCTACCCAACAACGTCAGTTAGAGAAGGTACAGAAAAGGGCCTGCAGAATCATGCTCGGCGCAGACTACTCCGGCTACACCAACGCTCGCTCCACCCTGGAAATGCCATCCCTCAGTCACCTCCACCACCAAGCACTAGCAAGGTTTGGCAGTGGACTACTGCACCATCCTCATCATCGCCACCTCCTGCCACCGGCAATCCCCCGCCCACCTCGCGCAGTCCGCCACTACAACAAAATCCAGCCTATAAGAGCCCTCACCGATAGATATAAGAACAGCACCATCCCATCTATTGTTAAAATAATAAACAACTCCGGATTTATGTACTGTACAGCCCTGTAAATGTATTCAACGCATATCATTATGTCTAAATCAAATGTAAGTTTGTATATTTTCAGCCACCGGCTGCAACTCTATTAATAAACCGTTTATTATTATTGTTATTATTATTACACACACACACACACTCCTTGACCACGGAATGGTCAAGACGTACCTGGCGCTCCTCTCGGAGCAGCCAGGTCAACTGCTAAGTTGGCCCATACCAACCCCTTCCCCTGAACCCTCCTCCCCACCGGAATATCAACAAGTTCTCACCAGAAGTTACAATTTCATTTAGGAAAGGAATGGAACCAGTGTTAAACAGAAGTGAACAGTGGTGAACAGTGCTTAAGTCAGTGAGAACAACTCAACAGTAACAGTCGTACCCAAGTTAACCTTCACACAGTGAGGTCCCAGGTACCCAGTGATAACGGCCCGTGAAACCCAACAACAACCAGCGATGTGTTAATCCGTCTACGATAGGAAGGCCTGGGACCAAACCTCACTCATATAACACCATCTGTGAAGGAATTACTACACCACGTGAGGCCCTTCATAACACCATCTGTGAGGGAATTACTACACCACGTCAGGTCCCTCATAACACCATCTGTGAGGGAATTACACCACGTGAGGTCCCCCATAACACCATCTGTGAGGGAATTACTACACCACGTGGTCCCTCATAACACCATCTGAGGGAACTACTACATCACGTGAGGTCCCTCCTAACACCATCTGGGAGGGAGTTACTACACCACGTGGTCCCTCATAACACCATCTGAGGGAACTACTACATCACGTGAGGTCCCTCATAACACCATCTGCGAGGGAATTACTACACCACGCCAGGTCCCTCATAACACCATCTGAGGGAACTACTACATCACGTGAGGTCCCTCCTAACACCATCTGGGAGGGAGTTACTACACTACGTGTTTGCTGTTCAACACCTACATTAATCTGTATGTTCCTTTACCTTTCTCTAATGAAGGCTTTTGTTAAACCACCAATGTATGTAATATTATACACACACACACGCGCGCGCGCTCATACATACCCATACACACACATACTGTATATGCGTACATACACACACACATGCATACATATGCACGCAAATACACATACATACACACACATACTCATACACACACACATACACACACACATACATACTACTTTGCTGTCACTTGGAATCAAGTATGACGATCATCCAGCTATGATACAATGATATGAGTTATTAGGGATGTCACCAAGGTTGGTGAGTTTTGAGGTGACTAAAGAGACCGAAACGGGACCGGCAGGGTCGTTCACATTCGTTGCACATGTCGAGGGCTCCATCTACTGCGGGAGGGTCGGCGGCAGCGTGTTTCCGGCGTTGGTGCTTGTCTGCCTCGGTATACTGTCGGGCTAACTCGAAAGTATTGACACCACCTCGTGTGGTGCTCCTCCAAGCGTTACAGTGTGGAGTAATCGTCTCCCAGGTGAGGGGTCGACTTGGCACTTTTTCAGGTTTTTCTTAAGACTATCCTTATACCTTTTCAATTGCCCACCGGCGTTACGTTTACTATTCGTTAGGTGACTGTAAAGTAGCTACTTTGGCAGCCTACTGTCGTCCATGCGGGTAACATGGCCAATCCAGCGTAGTTGTTCTTGCATAATGGTAGCCTCGATGCTCCTACAGTTGGTGTTAGAGAGAATACTGGCACACACACACACACACACACACACACACACAGATAATTAAGCGTGTTGGGTGAGGAACTGCCCGGGGCGGAGCTGGTGTTAAAGTCGATTCTTGGTAACAAATTCTATTTATTTTCGTCAACAAAACTTAATACCTGGGTTAATTCCTCCACCTTTTAATACACTATAACCTATATTACTGTGAGTATTATATATTGTAATATAACTAAACACGTAGGTTAGATAACTTTAGATATAATTAAACAATATATCACACCTGTTTAATTACATTACAGGTATATATCAGGTAAGCAATTAAGATTATTGAACGGCACAAGAGACAATTAGTGTGTGTATGTGTGTGAATATGTGTATCAAGTCCAACCCACCAGACAGGCTTAAATGTGGCACACCTGTAAACAAGCTGAACAGGTAAGAGAGATTAGCCTACTACTTCTACTCCTGCTTCTCCTTGTGTTGGACGTCTGCTGGTACTCCTCCATCTGCTTGGGAGTTGAATCATCCATCTTTAGGTTCCAATTACTCCTACAGGTAACTTTATCATGTGTTAACTCATTGTGCTGAAGGGGTTAAGTCTTTGTACTCAAGGTGTTAACTCTTTGTACTCAAGATGTTAACTCATTGTACTCAAGGGGTTAAGTCTTTGTACTCAAGGTGTTAACTCTTTGTACTCAAGATGTTAACTCATTGTACTGAAGGGGTTAATTTATCGTCGTTGTAAGGTTATTAAAACGTAACTCATTTATTAATCGAACTTCAAAGGGCATTAACTGAAGTGTGTACAACCTGGAGTTAATGGCTGGTCGTCCGATTACGATTTACAACCTCGAGTGAATGAAATTATCAGAGAATGTTGTTAACTCAATTACCTGCCAGAGAATGGTGTGATGACAGTGCTAAGTGTGGTATTTAATGCAACACTTAAACTACATTGGCATATGTTAAAGAGCCCGTACTGTACATGTCCAATAGTTGTCAACAGTGTGTAACAGAGAGCCAGTACATGCCCAGTACTTGTCAACAGTGTGTAACAGAGAGCCAGTACATGTCCAATAGTTGTCAACAGTGTGTAACAGAGAGCCAGTACTTGTCAACAGTGTGTAACAGAGAGCCAGTACTTGTCAACAGTGTGTAACAGAGAACCAGTACATACCCAGTACTTGTCAACAGTGTGTAACAGAGAGCCAGTACATACCCAGTACTTGCCAACAGTGTGTAACAGAGAGCCAGTACATACCCAGTACTTGCCAACAGTGTGTAACAGAGAGCCAGTACATGCCCAGTCTTGTCAACAGTGTGTAACAGAGAGCCAGTACATGCCCAGTACTTGTCAACAGTGTGTAACAGAGAGCCAGTACATACCCAGTACTTGCCAACAGTGTGTAAATGAAAACTAATCAACCGCTCTATTTGCGCTCTAACTGGTGGGTGGAGACAGAGGAGGGCCATGGATGGGTGGAGACAAGAGAGGGCCATGGATGGGTGGAGACAAGAGAGGGCCATGGATGGGTGGAGACAAGAGAGGGCCATGATGGGTGGAGACAAGAGGGGGCCAAGGTGGGTGGAGACAGAGGAGGGCCATGGATGGGTGGAGACAAGAGAGGGCCATGGATGGGTGGAGACAAGAGAGGGCCATGGATGGGTGGAGACAAGAGAGGGCCATGGGGTGTACAGGGCACAACTGGACACACTACCTGGACTGGTCACAACAGCTTAGGGGTAACAGACGCTCACCTGGTCACTATTTCTGTCAAGGTGTACCCAACTTTTATGACCCGTTCTCTCCTCCTCCTCCTCCTCCTCCTCCTCCTCCTCCTCCTCCTCCTCCTCCTCCTCCTCCTCCTCCTCCCTCCTCTCCCTCCGTCTCTTCTTCTTCTTCCAGTATGACCCTGTAATGTAAGGTTAGGCTATTAGGTTAGGTTAGGTTAGTTTAGGTTAGGCTTTTTAACGGGAAATTAACTGTTTACATCGTAGAGCAGGACAGAGCTATGTACCTGTGTACGGGAGAGAGCGGTGTACCCAGGCCGGAGAGCGGTACCTGTGGCCGGAGAGCGGTGTACCTGTGGCCGGAGAGAGCGGTGTACCTGTGGCCGGAGAGAGCGGTGTACCTGTGGCCGGAGAGAGCGGTGTACCTGTGGCCTGATAGAGCATTGTTCCTTTGGCCAAATAGAGAGGTGTACCTGTGGCCAGATTGAGGAGTGTACCTGGGGCCGGATAGAGCGATGTACATGTAGCCGGATACAGCGGTGTACCTGTAACCGGATAGAGCATTGTTCCTTTGGCCAAATAGAGAGGTGTACCTGTTGTCAGATAGAGCAGTGTACTTGTGACCGGATAAATCGATGTACCTATGGCCGGATAGAGAGGTGTACCTGTGGCCGGATAGAGAGGTGTACCTGTGGCCGGATAGAGAGGTGTACCTGTGGCCGGATAGAGAGGTGTACCTGTGGCCGGATAGAACTGTGTACCTGTAGCATCAACCTCACTAACTGACCTGCCGGATCGTGTTTTTTCGTCTTACACTCACTCGTACTGCCGGGTGTACGGTCATTAACCCCCCGCCCTTGGAAAACCCACTGTGTGTGAGTGTGTGTGTGTGTATGAGTGTTTAATTGTGTATGTGTGTGTGTGTGTGTGTGTGTGTGTATGAGTGTGTGTGTATGAGTAATAATAATAATAATAATAATTAACGGTTTATTGAAAGAGCTTGGCAGCCAGAAGGCTGAAAATATACAGTTACATAATTGGGGAATGGGTTACCAATTGCAAATAATATACAAGTAACATAAGTGATACAAATAAGATGTATAATAACTAGATGGGGAAAAGCTCAAACTACAGTTCATTTCAACATAGTGACAGCGTAAGGAGCAGTGTTTACTGGGAGTGAGTACACTGGTTTATTACAAGTTATTGATAATTTTTACAATGGTTGGGACTGGGCTGTTCTTATAGCGATCAGTTCGTGCACGTATGGGCTGGATGTGGTTGTGGTGTCGAACAGCAATTCTCGGACTAGGGATCTCAGGTGGTAGTAGGAGCCGGTGTCGGGGATGGTGTAGAAGCTTCTTACCAAATTTGCAGATGAGGTCGGTGATGGTCAGCGAGAGTCGAAAGGGTCAGTGTGTTGAGCGCTTCTTGATATGTGGAGCAGGGAAGGGAGAGAATAATCTTATGCCCTCTTTTGCACTTGTTCTAGGTGTTTACGTTGTGTGGCATTTAGGAGGAAGACCAGGTAGGGGAGGCATAGGTGAGCTTGGGAAGTATGAATGCTGTGTAAACACTGAGGAGCTTCAGTGCAGGAACTCCGAGGGACTTGAGTCGGCGGAGGAGGTGAGGACTTGAGTCGGCGGAGGAGGTGGAGACGGAAACTGGAGGATTTGACAACTTCACTGACGTGTGGTTTCCAATTTAGTTTGTTGTCTATGGTGACGTGTGTGTCAACTAACTGGTTTTCATTACTACTTCCAGAATAATGATGATGACGATGATG